AAATCAGAAGAGACTGAGCACTAAATGACAAATTATCACCTGGGAAAATTTTGTTCTAGTGTACATTTCAGCTCCCAGTATGTGAATCTTCAATAAATCATAGATTTATTTGCACAACTTGTGCTCTGCCGTTTTAAAAGAAGCGTAACCTGGGCAGTGAGATTTGTTTTCTCTAAACTTGATGAGTACACCTTGCGTTATATCCTTAAATAAATAGAATAATTTTAATTTTTAGTTATAAATACATATCATAAACATATACTATACACTTACTTGTTAGATATTTCTATTGTATTTGTATTATATAATATATATTGTTTCAAGTTCTTCTGTTACTTGCGATTAGATAACAAAGATAAGACTGCTTTTTTGTGGTAGCTGTATTCTGTGTCACAGACTCTGATAGAACTTTGTCGTGAGTGTTGTGGTTTCCTGGGAGTTAAAGCCCCAACACACAGAAATAGTTTATCGATATAAATTCAGTATTAATCCTTCAGACAGCTCTCTCAGGAAGAAGCCTTTTTCCCAGGGAAAATTTGCACACTGCCTCTCAGACCTGGGTAGAACCTTACCTGCCCTCAAAAAGATACACTGTGGAGGATGACAGGGGAAGGATGTGTCTTGGGGATGCCCCCCTCCCCCAAACAGGATGTTCACAGTCTACCTCAAAACATTCCGGGACCCGAAAACCCAGAACAGGGTGGGTGATTTAGCCACTGCTCTCTGCTGAGAGCTTTTCCTTCGTGTTTTAATGCTATAGTTTAAACCCCATGTGATTGGGTAGCCAGCACGAAGTCGCACAAGAAAGGAATTAGTCAGAGGTTTATCAGCACAGGGATATAAGAAAATGCAATGACAGTAGTTGTCCTGTCCTTCCTTCTCCTTCCCGCTGGCTGAGCTCTCCCTGGGAGTGCCCAGAGAAGGGGAAGGGAGTCGCCTGCCTTTCAGAGACCTCCTCAAAGCAGAGTTTTAGTTCATTTTTTATCAGCAATTTCATCATTCATGAAGCAAACCAGCTCCTCTGTCACGACACATCTCATCCCACCCACAGCGCACCCCATCCCTTTTTTTGGGCGCCCAGTGTTTTTTCCAGAAAGAGGAGGACACAGAAAGCTTCTGGTTGTTTTTCTGCATGTTGCACCACCACAGAGAAACAACCTGCAAAAAGATAAGAAGCGCATTAGGCAGCAAGTTGCAGTATTGGGTTTTGCACCCCCCGCCTTTATTTCTCCTGTTACTTTCTGTAGCTGGAACCAGCTTTGGGCAAGTCGGGTCTTTTGAACACCTAGGAAAATTATTTTAACATGTGTGCAAAACAAACTGGCCTGCAGCAGCCCCCGCTGCACTTCTGAAACTGCCTGAAGTCAGACTGAGGCTAAGCAGAAAATCGGCAGGATGATAAAGAAAGCATTGCAGGGCAGAGACAAGAAGTGGAGAGAGAAATAAACAGGTTAAGTATGGGTGGGAAGAACAGTTTTCCAGCTGTGGTGGTTATAGAGGCAGATATCTGCTGGGCATGCTGCAGATGTCATCAACAGACATCCACGTTTCTTCAATACGAAAATCAGGGTGCAAGAATATTATGCAACCAGATCTCACCCTCAAGTGCAGACTGGGAAAGTAGTAATTATTTCTAGGTTGTGTAATGTAGATGCAGCCAGAGGGGCTGTGTTAGCAAGTCTGGGCTGTGTAAGCTATCACCAAGTGATTTCAGGATTATCAGCTATACACTGAAGGGAAGTCAGGGCTGATAACCCTTTATATACTCTGTGATCCCATTACTTTCAAAAAATATACTGGGCATTTCTATAAACGTCGCACAGATCTCGTGCTGCGCAGCTAACTGAACCAACCTTACAGCCCCAACTGAATGCACCGACTCCCCGTGCATCCTTGCCTTTTACTTCCTCTCTCACTGAAGCCCTACATCACTGAGTAACCAGAGGAAGATGGAGATGGCTTCTTCCAAAACCAACTAGTGCTGCTCCCTGAGTTAGCTACTCCTTCTTATGAGAAATTGATACTAGTATTTCATTTCTTGGGAATTAAAATACAGGAACTCCCACTGCTGATGGACAGCTGTGGTCTAGGCTGAGCCTACCCGCACATTCTGATCTTACTGCATAGCTTCACTCCTCTTTCTCCTTGGTACTATGCAAGAGAGAGTGTTTTGCCGTGCTTAAGAAGTCCTCAGAAGTACTATTGGGAAACACAGTATATAATTAGTAGTAGTAGCAGCCAAAAGACTGGGACATCAACATTCAATTCTAGCCAGCACCTTCAGTCTCTTCACTTCTATTTCTTCCCCCTTCACCTGTTCATGCTCAGCTTCACTTTCCCTGTTTCTTTGCTTTGCGCCTTCCCCATTTCTGTTTGCCTGCCTCATTTTCTTTCTCTTGTCACTTAAGAATTATTTCAGTGATGATCTTCCAACACGCAGAGGGACAGATGTGTAGCTACATCCTTCATTCATTAATGACTGCAGCAGTTTTTCCAATTTGATAGCATTTAGCACTTTCAGCGTGCAGAACACTTTCAGACACTCTTCCCTGGGAGGAAGCTGACAGAACCCCTGACAAAGCCCAGTTGCAGGAAACCACCCTGATACTGTTACATCCAAATAAAGCATAAACCCCTTTGGGTCCTTGCTTATCATTTAAAAAAAAACCCCAACACATTGGCATTTGACAGCCGCACCGGAGCTGCACAGACAACCAGCACTTTACAGCTGAGAAGGAAGCCTAGTGATCTCTCTGTAGGCAAAGCAAGAGCGACAGGGTTAAGAATTAGTGAGATCTTAGTAACGTTCAATTTCTAAATTAACCTTTAGAAATTAATTATCTGAAGGCAACTGAAAAGAATCATTGTGTTTGGAGCTCTTGTTCCCATTACACCTTGATGCTCCTGCACATGGCATTTCCTTCGTGTCCCAGTAAAAGCAGAGCCTCTCATGCTGTCAATACGGGGGACAAGTCGTGTATACTGCAGCTGACAGCCTGCTCCCTCAGCAAAGTCACAACGCAGACCTAGGCAAAGGGGAACACATTAACTCTTTTGCTCCATTTAAGACACTCCCTGGTAAATAGCAAGTAGGATCCATTAGGCAGGAAGCTTGGCAGCAATGACTACAGCAATAAGTTATGCCGATTTTTGCCTCCCTTCCTTGTTGTCCATCCTCCACCCAAGACATAACTGATATTATTCCAGCAGGTGAGCACATCGTTTTCCCACTTCTCCTTCTCCCCAACCTTAGTTCTGAATTCTCTGATTAGTTTTTCTTTCACTCATTCATTCTTTTGTTATTTTTGACTTTGGCTGCTGCCTTTTTTGTGTGCATTCCTATCCATCACCCTCCCACAACTCTCCCCGAAGGCATGCGGCATGCCCGGGGCCCAGCAGCCTACATGCCCTTTCTTGTTTATTCCTTACAAACTTTCTGATCCTGCAAGCTTTACCAGTCCCTCCACGCTCTCCGTTTTGCCTTCAAAATCCTGCTCTGCTTCTGTTAACAGGATTTTTCTTGATCCCATGCAATCTGGCCTGTGGTCCCACCCACTGAACTCTCTTCATTAAATCTGCGTAACTGTACGGGCAGACCCCCGAGCACAGGGACAAAATCTGTAACGCCAGAGAACTCCCTGGCTGGCCACGCTGCTACCTGTTCTCCAAACAGAAATCCACCGTACCGGCAGAACTGCGACAACACAACGTCATCTGTGCGCCATTTCCTATCAGTTTAAGCACATCTGTTACAAGTGGGATTTCCTTTCCCCACTCCCTGCCTCCTCAACCCAGCGATCATAGCTATAGCAAAAAAACCTTTTAAACGTAGGCCAAGACAACAGCCAAGTCAATAAGGCACTTAAACAAGCCTCTGAAATGCTGGTTGCTCTAAAACTTTATTTTCCCTCCTGAGGCTTCCACAGCTGCTCCTTCCCCACTGCTGCAATCTCTCTTGTGATTCCTTCCTGCTGTCTCCCACTCCTACGTAACAGACGAACAGGAATTGGGTGTATTTGCCTACTGTATATTTGAAAAAATAACGCATTTGGGTTCTGCCCTTTTTTATCGTACCTCTGATCTGTTTACATTTTAGCAAGCTAAACACAGCTTTTCTGTAGCATTTGGCTTTTGGCCAGAAAATCTGCAATGAAGCTTTTTCCTGCTTATTTTTTTTACTGCTGCCTGTACTCTAACTAAAGCAGCACAGCCTGCCAGAGCAAGGCATGGCTTAGTCTTACTTCCATAGGCAAATTTAATCCAGTACACTTCATGGGCTTGGCAGCTAAGATTGCTGCAACTGATGGAATGCTTCATGAAGCAGCCACAGGTGTACTCCCCATTTATCCACCGAGATCTCCTTCCTTGTTTAGCAAAACATCATTTAAGTACTTATCTTCGCCTTGTCCTCCCTGGTGTTTATTTTCCAAGGCAGCTTCTCAGGTGTCTGCTACTAATTCACATCACTCTTACTGGCCATTCAGCTCGTCAGCACCCTTTCGAGGCTAAAAATGCAACACAATTGTTTTGCTTGAGCACAGGAAAGTGCACACGCTCTTTTCTTACTCTTGACTGTGCCACTTCATTGAGTGAATGGGCTTTTTGGCAAATACAGAAATACACGTTTAGTGCCTATTCCTCCCCCCCCCCAAGTGCAGTTCATATAACATCAAACTGCTTTATTCCTCTGGCATAATTACAGGTGAGGATATCGACGTAGGTATAATTCAGTAATCCTAGTGCACAAAGCCGAGAGGGAAGTAAAGGCCTCAGCCACCCCCTCCATGTAAATGACAGGTTCCTTTCTGGGGTGAGTATTGCCCAGTGAACCCGGTACAAAACCCACTGATTTCAGCTGCAGCCTTTCTCAGTGACAAGACTAGGCTGTGGATCAGATCCTACACGTGCATATTTTTAAAATCTCCTAAAAATGGAAAATTTTTGTAGTTGCATTTTAAAATTGCTCTGCCAATAAACACGTTTGGGTTTGTTTCAGATTCACTGTCTCAATGGATGTGGTATCAGCCTGGGCCCCAGCAGTGGGTTTCACACTCCTGCCCCATGCAGGAGGATTTTTAGGAAGCAAGATAACCAAAAAGGAAATCCCAGTGTGGTATCAATCTCTACAGAAGCCAACCTGGTGTCCACCCAACTGGATGTTTGCTCCTGTTTGGGGAACGCTCTACACATCTATGGGGTATGTTTTTCACATTGTATTAAGGCGCTTACCTGATCTCAGAGTTGCTTATTGTATAATGCTGGACCAGGGAACTATTATTGTATTCTGGGGGCTCTATGTTTGTAAGACACTGTGTCAAGCTGCCCCTTTAACAGGTAAAAGCAAGTTTCGGGAGTTGTGTGTGAGTTTGATAGGATATTTCGTGTGCACAAGTACCCACATCAAAAGCAAGAGTTTGAAAAGCTGCTATTAATTTGCTTTGCTCATTCAGTCTGAGGGGAAGACTGACAAGCTGGCAGTGATGGAATCACACAGCACTGGGATTTCTTCTACGTATGTCCTCCAGTAGTTTCAGTAAAATAAAAAGAAAGGCAGGGGCCGGACTGGGATAGACCCGTTCTAACAGAGCTCAATTAAAAGAAACCAAAATCAAAATATACATGTCCTTCCAAATAAAACTGCCGGGTTGTTAAACTGAAAATGGTTGAAGCCGTCTACTGCTTCCTTATTTAACTAGTTTAAAATATTAGACAGCACAGCAATTACTGTCAAATGAACAAGGAATCACACAGCCAAACACGATTCCCACAGGAACCTTAAAAGTTTAATAATACTGTATTTTGGCAGCTGTTAGTTTTAATAAGACGTAGCCAAAAAAATATATTGTAGAGGTAGGCTGTCTCAGGAGATTGTTGGGGCAGTTTTGATACTCCCCACAGACTGCTCTAGAAGCTGTCCACCCAACATGATGTGCTTTTACGTTAACTCTGCTGAGCTGTGCCACAGAGGAGAAGCAGCACTCTGCTCCTAGAGCCTCAGCAGAGGTCAGTGCAGGCCCCGAGCACGAAGTGATGCTTTGTGTCTCCTCTGCAATTGGTCATTAAGAACGACCTACGTACCACGATTTGGCATGCTTTTTCCTAGCTATCAGATACACATTGGTGCCAAGCCAATAGTAATAGTTTTTAAGCTGCAATCTGCCTTTTATGGTTTGCCTCTCCCATTTCTTCCATAACAACGGTACATTTTAAGTGATTTGTAGTTTGCATATAGCACTGGCTTAACTATATAAAGTTTCAAAGAGACCAGATCTTTTCCAAGCTAACATTACATGGTCATCCTATAGGTTATCTTAAATACCACACCACCACCTGTTGCAAAATACAGCAATGAGGCAATGTCTGAAACTGTATCTGAATGCTAAATTGTCTCTCACACATTCTCTCATTGTGGTTTCATCTTCTTTCCAGAAGTTTTTTAATTTTTATAGCCTCATGTACTGTCCCTCCTTTCCCATCAGTATTTTCTTTCCTCTTAGAGTGTAGCTTTAAAAACTGCTCTCTTCTATATTCCAAGACTTAGCATTTGAATCAGATCACTGCTGTCCTGTAAATAAAAATTGCTTTTTATTAAAAAAAACAAGAGCTGAGTGGCTTTCCCGTGAAGGGCTTCCTTCAAGTCGACTGCACAATTTTTAACCCTGTTTCTGGATTCCTCATCATAAGCCTGGATATCAAGTTAAATATTTTAAAAAAATCCAAATTGTGACAGCTTATCACTGACTTTGATAATATCAGAATCAGTATATTCTGAGGTGGAAGGTCCTGTTATGTACTATACATTTAGCTCGGTGAAAGGATCATATTTATTACCAGGCCTTTTCTCCTGTAATCTATCATGTGCACACATTCCTTGAATGATCAAGACATCTCATTCCTTTAGACTATAATAAATCGAAAGCAAAAAATAACTAAAAGCAAGATTTAATAAGCTTACATGCCTTTCTTTACATTTAGCTTCCTAGGAGATTTGTACATTGTGATCTTGGTCTGAAGTCAAAGTTAGATGTATGAACATCTGAAAGTCCACACTGTGACTCTAAATCACTTAGGAATAGATTTGGGTCCTGATGCCCTTTACACAGACAAACTGCAAAGTTTCTGATGCTTACGCTGCCCTTCCCCCACCTTTTTTTAATATTCTCTGCAATCAAACTGCTGAGACAAAGCCGCATTGTTCAGTCCTTATGAAAGTAATGGCCAAGAAGCTAGCTTGGGTCATTAACTGGGTTAAACAGGAAAAAAAAAAAATCCTTCTCGTATGACCTCAAATGAAGACAATTTTGCAACTACTCATAAGGACGTTTGTCTGCTCCTAAAAAAAAAATAATGCTTACAAATTGGTCTCCCATCTTTGCTCCGCTGCCAGCAGAAATACGTATGAGCACCCTGCCATCCAGCGCAGTGCACAGTCCAGTTCACACTCCTACCAGGAGGGAATCAGTATTCAGCTACTAATTCTGAAACAAGGATATAATTCCAGATGTTGGCATTTTATCCAGAGGATTCTGCTGTAGTCACTTGGAATGGCTGTGCAGTCATCTGGATTGAACTCTAGCTAATGTCTAAAGGGAAAGTCAAACAAAAGCAAAAGAGAGACACTTAGGTGATAAATGCTCCCTGTTCTAATCAGGCTCCTTCAGTGCAAAAATAAACCTTACATTCGATCTCCCAAATCCTGAGAATTCCTGTCTTTAGCAGCTTACATTCTGAGATCCCTCCAGTGAACTGTTCTTCTGTGGCACTAAGAAGATCTGTTAAATATCTTCAAAATATTTTTGGAAGATCTTTCATTAGCCAGGAACCTGCAGACAGCAAGGATGCTGGATGCTCCTTGTAGTTAATTCTTTCCACAGAACTCCTAAAAATCTTTGTTCTCCTCACCTCCATCCCCTGTCTTCCGAAAAGTGACTATCGGGTTCCTCCTGCTCTAGCACCATCCATCTCCATACTCACCTGTACTTGGGGATGCCACTCAATTCCTACTTCTATATTCATTTCATCCACCTAAAAAGTTAGTGGGCTGTGTTGTTTGGGGTTTGTTTGTTTTTTTAATTTATTTTTAGTTTTTTTAAAGCACTGTCTCCCAGTACCAAAATTAACAGTTTCTTCACTATTTAGAGACTTACGTGTTACCCTTGCATCCTAGACTTGCTTCCATTTCAACACAGCATTATCTTTTAAGACTGAAATGCAATAGATCATCTGCTCCTGTGCACCTAGAAGAGAGAACTCTGGCAGGACAGGGAATTTTCCTCCCTCCATATTTCTCTTCACAGGAGGTGATCAACCCTGTGCTGTCAGTTACTCTGCCAAGCAGTGCCTGGATATCTACTTTTCCAAATCAGTCTAGACCCTAGCACTGAAATTACTCCATTTGATCAAAAAAATGTGTGGTTGCTTTCTAACCAGTGTACTGAATTACACCTTCCATTTGCTTTCTCCAGATACGGCTCTTATCTGGTGTGGAAGGAATTGGGGGGCTTCAAGGAAAAGTCGGTGGTTCCTCTGGGTCTGTATGCAGGGCAGCTGGCATTAAACTGGGCATGGACTCCAATATTTTTTGGAGCTCACAAAATGGGATGGGTAAGTGGAAAAGCAAGTTTCTTAATCGTAGGCTGTCATTTGCATGGTGCCAAGGTGAAAGTTTTGTGTCATAACCTTTTCTCCCTGAAAATGAGCCTGAGTACAGAGTATGGCTTGCAGAAGTCTCCTGAAATCCTCTTTAATGCATGCCAGCAGCCACCTGAGAGAATTTACGTACCTACAACATCCCTAAATGTTTAGATTTCAAGCTCTTTCTGCCACCCTTTGATAAGAGCTTTGTGTGACTAGGAAGTGTAAACATTTATGCCTTACTAAAATTCCTAGGTATCTCTGGCAAACAGCAGCAATAAGAGGCTTATCATAACATTACTCAGGTAATCAGCACCCATTTTAGACAAGACTAATTTTATGCAGTCTGAAGAGAAACAGCTTGCCTCAAAAATAAAAACTAATAATAAAATATTTGCCTGGTTCTCTAAGTATACATGCAGTGCTGTAATAGTGGAAATCTTTGCAATCCATCATTGATTCATTCACACCACAGGTGTGAATCTCTCCAGGTGGCATCTATGACACAAAAAGACTGGAGGAGTTTACTTAGCTAAGTGACTGCTCAAAGTCACACTGGGTTTGCAGTCAATGTAACACTTCCCGCTGCCAAAAATAGAGGGTATGGGTGAGAGAAATTTTATTTGCCCTCTCCAGCTCCCAGCTGCAATGCCCTTGTGACTGTTGTATAGTTTTGTGAGTCAAATTGACTCATAACACAGCAGAAAACTTACCCTTTTTTTTTTTTGCGGAGAAGGAATTAACTCCCAGAGGGATCCAACAAGTGCCAGAGCTAAGTAAAAAACAAAACAAAACACACACACGAAAACTGTCTAGTCAAGAAAATGCAACAAGTGAAAACACCACTAACCACCTTCCTGTGTTTCAGGGGCTGGTGACTCTCCTGCTCACAACTGGTACAGCAACAGCTACAGCTGCTTCCTGGTATAACATCAACAAAACAGCAGCTTATTTGATGGTTCCTTATTTAGCTTGGCTAACCATGGCTTCTGCACTCAACTACCGTATCTGGAAGGACAATCGCAACAAGAAACAATCTGAATAAACAGTTTTCAGCCAAAAAGATACTCTTTTTTTCACAAGAATTTTCTAAATAAAAGTTAGAGCCTTATTTTATTTTTAGCTGAACTACTTACACCATTAGTTGGCCAATTACAAGTTGACAAAGCAGTACTTGTTCAAAACAAATAGGCCTTTACAAGGCAAGTCACAAAGGGGCATGTGCTTGACTGGGTTTTATAGCAAACCAAAAGATAGTGCTGATTGAAAAGTACTAGTTTTCTATATCACAGCATTATATTTTATACGACAACAGCATTTTAACTATTACCAGAAATACGCATGAACTCCAACTTCCATATGTTCAGAGGAAGAAATCCAGCCATATATTGACGCAGCTTCCAGAAAACTCCTCCTAACAGCGACAGGTATGATTCAGATCTGAATCAACATTGACAGGCATGACTGTGGCCTGAATCTTTCACGTTTACCACTAGGCCCAGTGCTTTAGTGCTATGACGTGTCCCACTACAGCTGCCAGATAGTTATCTTCTGGTCATTGTACTCTGGAAATGTTGTTTGAAGACACAACCTTTTTCACAATTTGTGCCTTGCCACTTCGAAGCGTTGTACAATCCTGTGTCAGCTAAATGCATTAAACTACACGTGCACTTACCAACCTTGTTCTTCTGTTTTTATTGGTTTTGAGCAGAAAAATACTGAAGGCAACAGGATGCTATAGCCTCAAAGGTAGCTCCTTCATCTCTTCCCCTCACCACTGCAATGGGCAAGACAAAACAGGAAATTCAGAGCACCTGGACAGAAACCAAGAGGGCCCAGGTATTCAGCAGCCCCCCTGCATGCACTTCTGAGGCATCCCCAGCAGCACTGGCCAAGCAGCACCAACGTACTCCACCTGGACCCCCTGTGTGATGCCAGTCACCACTAGACCTTGCCAGTGGAGCCGGCAGCCAAGCCATGGGTGGGTCTGTTGCCCAGCAGGGCAGCGCCTGCACCATGGCTACTAGCGTCTCCTACCTGCACCTTCTCACTTTAGCTGCTTACAAGCAGAAACAAGGGTTTCTCCTCCTCAGGCTTATGGTAGCTGTCACAGTAGGATTTGGGATGCTTAGTTCAACCAGTTGCTTCCTAGAAGATTAAAAAAAAAAACAAACGCACAACAGACTATTTCTGCCCACAGCTTGTGGTCCCACTGTACAAATCTTACATTTTTTTTTTTTAAAGTAATTCTTCTGTGTTGCTAAGTGTGCCATCATGTTTCCCTTTGTGATGAGGGAAACTTTTGCCTTTACTCTAGATCCACAGGCACTTTGATACATCTTCTCAGGTACTCTGAAGGCAGAAAGTGCCTTTGGCTCTCCTACATCCGCTGAGCAGCACTGCGTGTCTCCTTACGTTAAGTCTCAAGCACCTACTGCTGTATTCTAGATCACAGACAAACTTGTTCCCTGCGTCAGAAGTAGTCACACCATCTATGTTAAGCACTGCACCATGTTTCTTTAATCACGTTTAAGTAAGGAGTCCAAAAGAGTTCTGACTCATGAGCAGGAGGCTGATACTGCTCTCAGCACTGCACTTCTGGCTGTGCAATCCAGCTCTCCCTTCCACCCCACCTGTGCAGTGACCGAATTTTCCTAAGACACAGATGGTTTATTTCTCCAGCCTATGTTCCAGTCAGTGGAAAGAAGTAGGTTTCTGCAGACCAGCCTGAAATAGCCTAAAATATATCCCTCTCCCTTCCTGATCATGAGGGATAACACGTTGCCTATTTGCAAAGCTTGAAGCAAGGTTTAGAACATTTATACAATTTTATAACTGAACTTCACTCTCAGGCAGATCCTGATTGCTGCAAACTAGCTTAAAAAAAATACGACCCACATAATATATATTTCATGATGGACAGCAGAATTTTTGCAATTTGTACATACACATAAAGCAACATAAAGACAGCCTAAATTGCTAAATTTCAACCAGTTTCCCTGATTTGAGGAGAAAGGAGAGATTAGGAATTAATTTCAAACTGAGGGACACTCCCAAACACCTCTGTTTTAGGCCCTAAACTGTGATGTCCAAAGACTGCTTGGGCTTCTAGCAGTTTTCCAGATCCCTTTCATCCCTTCAGGCTTCCTCTGCACTCCTGTGCTGCTCCAGACATTGCACCCCTCTCACTTCCTGCCTGACCCCTTCTCAAAAATCTCTATTTTTTTAAGGGGCAGGCTAAGGATAACAGCCAGCAGTACATGGTTCCTAGATGTTGTGGGGTTTGTTTGCCCTTTTTTTTTTTTTTTAACTAAGAAAAACGGGAAAAAACATCAAATCTTTAATCTCATTACCCGAGTAGTTCATTGCACTGAAATGCCATATTATTTTACCATCATAACATTTTAGATCTTTGTGTAAGAGGGACAGATAAGAGAGATATACATACTCCAACATGATTCAGTAAATTATAGTTTTAATGTTGACATGGGGAACTTGTGCAATGTTTCCCAGCAAGCAAGCAATCAGGCTACCTGAAAAACAAGTCAATTGCTCCAGTTACTGACCTATTTTGGAGGTCTTCCATATTCAATAAACAAGACATTTGGTCCACACAAACTGATGATTTACAGAACTAAGCAAGACACGGAAAATGCAGACAAAATGATAATCAATACAGTATATGGTATATGCATATTCTTCTAATATGATTTTTTTTCCCCTGGGTTACCAGTATAGGAAAATAGTCGCACCAGCAGCTCATAGAACTGAAATATAAATCTTGCTGTTAAGCATATCTGGGAAGGAAATTAATAGAATCAAGCCTCCTGTGGCTAGACAATGCATGTCACATGGCAGCTGTCTGATTCATCCAGAAACAGGGTGCTGAAGACATCATTGAAAAAGGTGGGGTGGTATTTGCAGGCTCTATCACAGTCAGGATTAAAGTTCACCTCCAGGATCTGAGGCTGCATCATTCTTTTCCCTGTAAAGGGGAACACAAACACCACCTCTTAATACAAGCTCTAGACAGATCCTGAATCACTACCTGTCTTTAAGCCAGAGATTATAGAAAATGCCTGGAAAAAGCCATCTTTTACAACCCAAGCTGGCAAACCGGTAAAGTGTTTTGATTTCAGTGGGTTTGGGTTGGTTTTTTTTTTTTTTTTGGAGGCCAGAGGTCTGTTCTACCATCATTATCCAGAGGACAATCATCCAACAGATTCTGCAATCACTGTGCTAATTCAATACTTCATTTAGAATAAGAATTTGCACCAACTTAATAGGATCTCGCTAATACAGCTGTCTTGCTTGACAGTCCGAAACACCTTCCAGAAAACTCTGCTTCTCCTTTCACATTTCAGTACAAACTTTACTTTCTTAAAGCTCTTAGATAGCTACCTTTCTAGTTCTAGCAGTCCTATTCCTTTATGCTCCAGCCACTCCCACCTGCCACTTCATCTCACTCCTAGAAGGAACTCAGCAAGTTAAATTTTCTCTTAAAACTTCATCAGTACAGTTCAGAATCAAATGCATTCTGTGCAAAGAGAAACAAAGGATTTTATTTCCTGTCTGGTGTTGAGATTGTAAGTGAGAGGACAACCTTCTGATGCATACGTAAACCATACTCTGCTCTGCTCAGAAGCAACTAACCTATTTGTCCACAGGCTGCCCACAGCATCACAGCCATGACTTTCACACTCACGCCCCCATCTCCAAAAGGCTAGGGACCTGCACAGCTCATGTTCAGCCAGGGCTGTAATGAGAGGTTGATCCTCGCACTGCAATAGCTTTCCTCAAGCTACTAGCATTAGTGAGTTGCTTTGCCTCTCCCATTCAAGACGACTCTGGGACAGGTGAAAGAGCATTCAACGTGGACGTAGCAGACCCAAATTCAAACACTTGCTCCACCTGATCTGAACAGCAAAGGCTCAATTCTACACCTCCTACTTCTCAACCACTTCCCTCCATGCAACTGATTCAATATTTACAGAATCAGCCACCGCAGCAGTGAGCTAGGGTCACCGACCCAACATACAACAGCTAATCGCTCCTCCGGCAAACCTGGGCATGAGCAATTAACTTCTCTTGTGTCCCGGGGACCACAGTGTCACAAGAAAGAGTACGCTCAGTTCTGTTTTATACTGCCCTAGCAGTCCTTTTGGTGTTGATGCCTCTGCTGCTTTTCTACCTACAAGATACATGTGTCTGGGTTGGGCACGCTTACAGATTATTTTTGAGCCTCCTGGTGAGACAATAAAGAATTCTCCCTGCCTGGCAAATTTTGCTACCCGTCCTCCACAACTGGCTGGAAGAGAGGCTCCACTAATTAGTGGAGCTAATTAGCCATGCTATGGCACTAATAGGAAGCAGCTTCACATATGTGTTCTTACAGACTTGGCAACAACTGAGTGATGGTCCTGAGGACATCAATAGCACTGAAATGGTGAACAAGGTACCTTCCCTGCTTCAATAAGTAACTGTGCATTGAAGACACCGGTCCAAGCCTGGACACCACAGACAGTAAGATGCCTCTAAGGTTTTCATAAAGAGACAGGTATTTCAGACATTCTTTCACCACAAATGGGAAAGAAAACTTGCTGCTGTCAGAGTAACTAGATTGCTGTACATTTGTTTCTGTGTGTGGTGGGGTTTTGTTTGTTTTTCAAAAAACAAACAGAGAATGGCAGTAGCAGGGGCACAAAGGAAGCAAGGAATTGGCCAAGCACAGTTACCAGCTCCCCCATCATTCCTGTTAACCGGCATGGCAGATGCTAACCCCACAGATCCGCAACTCCAGAACACTTTGATGTCAGCGGGAGGCACAGAGCACACAGCTCACTCTGCTTTAAGAACAGTAAGAGTTCAGACAGAAGAATCAAATTTCAGAAAAGGTCCGCAAATATAAAGAATTCAACATTCAAAGTGAGCTTCTCACCATCTCTGCTGGTGTCCCATTTAAGCATCAAGTCAACAGCATATATTGCTCTTGATGATGGATAATCGCAGATGCCAAGAGGCGCAGGTTTCGCTGAAGCAACTTGGAACAATTCAGCAAATGCCTTAAAAATATTTGCCTAACAACAGAAAAAGGTCTCTGAATGAGAAGTGAGGTTCTATAAAAGCAATAAACAGGTTTT